CTCTTTCCATGGGACTCCTTGCTTGATAGTAATTTCCCATTTTGTATGTGTGCAGCAGATTGTTCCTACGGAAGTGGAGTTGTTTGCCATTTTCCTTCTTCAGTTCCATTCTATTTACCTCAGTCTATTCCTCCAGTTTGTCTGGATCATTTTGCATTATAGTCCTGTCTTCCAAAGAGCTTGCAATCCCTCCCAGCTTGGGGTTTGGAATGGGTCCCCTATGAAGAGAGATTAAAAAGACTTGGACTTAGAAAAGAGGAAACTAAAGGGGAATATGACAGAAGTCTATAAAATCATGATTGACGTGGAAAAAGTGAATAAGGAAATTATTTACTTATTCCCACAATATAAGAACTAGGGCTGTGTCCAGACTCAGGGGTTTTTTCGAAAAAAGTAGCCTTTTTTCGAAAAAACTTTACCTGCGTCTAGACTGCAGCCGTGTTCTTTCGAAATTAAATCAAAAGAACGCGGCTTTTCTTTCGACGGCGGTAAACCTCATTGCACGAGGAAGAACGCCTTCTTTCGAAAGTTCCTCTTTCGAAAGAAGACGTTCTTGAATGTAAGTAGGGCTTCTTCGAAAGAGAGCATCCAGACTCACTGGGTGCTTTCTTTTGAAAAAGCAAGCCGCTTTTTCGAAAGTTCCGTGTGCAGTCTAGACACTCTCTTTCGAAAGAGGCTCTTTCGAAAGTATCTTTCGAAAGAGCCTCTTTCGAAAGAAGCCTGCAGTCTAGACATAACCTAGGAGTCACCAAATGAAATTAATAGGGAGCAGGCTTAAAACAAACAAAAGAAGGTTTTCTTCACTCAGCGCACAGTTAACCTGTGGAACCTCTTGCCGGAAGCTGTTGTGAAGAGTAGGATTTTAAAAGGGTTGAAAAAAGAACTAGATATATTCATGGAGGTTTGGTCCATCAATGGCTATTAGCTAGAATGGGTAGGAATGGTGTTCCTGGCCTCTGTTTGTCTGGAAATGAGTGACAGGGGAGGGATCACCTGATGATTACTTGATGTGTTCATTCCCTGTGGGGCATCTGGTATAGGCCACTGTTGGCAGACAGGATACTGGGCTAGATGGATTTTTGGGCTGACCTAGCACGGACATTCTTATGGCCCTCATTTAAGGACAGGCAATCCTCACTATAAATCCAAGATATGTTCCAAAAAACTTAGACTTATAGCAAAACAACTTAAAGCAGGGACTTTTTTCCCCCCTGCTGACTTCCATTTAAGCACATTGGGGGGTTGTTGTTGTTGTTATTTTGTTTGTTTGTTTGTTTTATGCAACTTATAGCCGGGAATTGGAGGACATAGGACTTACAATGCATCAGTTCCTACAAACATCAACGACTTTAACGCGGAACTGATGCATCCTGGGACAACCAATACTGGGGACACCCTGTACATCAGAGCCTGGTTTTACATCTCTGCCCATACTGACTAACAGCCATTGATGGATCAATCCTCCATGAAATTTTGAAACCCTGTTCTAGTCTTGGTCTTCGTAGCATTCTTTGACTAAGAGTTCCAAAATTTGAATGTAAATTCTTTTAAATCTGTTAAGTATTAATTTAATTTGATGACCTCTAGTTCTTGTGTTATAAGAAACAGTAATTAATTCTTCCAATTTACCTTCTCCACACCAGTCATGATTCTGTAAACCTCTATTTTATCACTCCTTACTCATGGCTTTTCCAAGGTGAAATATTTCCATTTTATTAAACTCTCCCGGATTCCCAACCTTCTGTTAATTTTTTGACTCCTGATGCACATTGCGTAGATGTTTTCAGAGCACTGTCCACAATGACTCCAACATCTCTTTCTTGAGTGGCAATGGAGAAAGTTGACCCAGTCATTTTAGAACATTGAATTTCATCTGCCTTTTGTTGTCAAGTTAACCAATTCCGTGGGATCCTTTGTGACTCTTTGCAGTCTCCTTTGGAATGAGCTATTTGCAGTTGTTTTGAATCAGCTGCAAACTTTGCCACCTTATGGTTCAGTCCTTTCCCAAGGTCTTAAAGGCAGAACTGAGAAGGTGGGACATGAACCTGATTGGGGGTAGATACTTGGGAGAAGAACCCTGCCACCGAGAACTTGAGTGAAGCTGACCCAGGAATGGACAGGAGGCCTTCCACATGTGAGGAACAGACTGAAAACTTTCCTTACATCACAGGGATAGCTCTTTGTAATTTCTACAACTGTATTAAGTTCAAACCAAATATAATTTATTAAACAGCAGCTCTAAGAAAAATAATGAAAATGGGAAAGATTCAAGGGGACATAGAAGCCAACTCTATGGACACATAGACACCCCAACAATTATAGTCTGGTGACCGTCTCCCTGGGCTGGGCCCTCTGTCCATGACCTCACCGTTCTCCACACCTTTGCCCATAAAAGTGCTTGGCTGCTATTTTATTGTGGCATTGCTGACATCCATGATCCTGGCTCTGAACTTGCAGTTTCTCACTGTAGCTCTGGCTATATCTAGACTACATCCCTTTTTCAAAAAAGGGATGCAAATTAGACATATCAAAATTGTTAATGAAGCCGGGATTTAAATCTCCCGCGCTTCAACAACATAAAAATGGCTGCCGCTTTTTTTCGGCACGGAGCTTTGCCGAAGAAAAGTGGCAGTCTAGATCCAGATCTTTCGAAAAATAAAGCCTTTTTACGAGAGATAAAGGATCTTTCGAAAAAGGCTTTATTTTTCGAAAGATCTGGATCTAGACTGCCACTTTTCTTCGGCAAAGCTCCGTGCCGAAAAAAAGCGGCAGCCATTTTTATGTTAATGAAGCGCGGGAGATTTAAATCCTGGCTTCATTAACAATTTCGATATGTCTAATTTACATCCCTTTTTCAAAAAAGGGATGTAGTCTAGACATAGGCTCTGTCCTGGTTCCCGATTGGCACAGCTGGTCTATGCCAACCCGGCTCCTTGGTCTCATCTGCTCCAGTGGCAGCTCTCCAGCTCTGCCTCAGCACCATGGCTCTGCCTTCAGCCCAGCTCTGGCTGTTCTGTCTCACTGCCACTGCTCTGCCCTCGTGTTTCTGCCTCCAGCTCAGATTGAGGTGGTTCATAAGGTTTGTCAGATTTTTGGCTGAAATAATAGCCCCAGATCACACAGCAATCACTTTAAATATGTCCAGTCTTGGCGATATTTTTTATTTGCAGATTTCTCTATACCTCAAATAGCAAATAAATATTTATTTAAATACCTAGGACAGATTTGACTAACAAAATGAGAAAGCCAACAGCCCTCTCAGGAGTTTCCCCCACAAACTTATGAGGTGACAATATGAAGAGAGGTTAAAACGACTGGGACTTTTCAGTTTAGAGAAGAGGAGACTGAGGGGAGATATGATAGAGGTATTTAAAATCATGAGTGGTGTGGAGAGGGCCAATAAAGAAAAGTTATTTATTAGTTCCCATAATAGAAGAAGTAGAGGACACCAAATGAAGTTAATGGGTAGCAGGTTTAAAACTAATAAAAGAAAGTTCTTCTTCACCAGACGTGTAGTCAACCTGTGGAACTCCTTGCCAGAGGAGGCTGAGAAGGCTAGGACTATAACAGAGTTTAAAGAGAAGCTAGATAATTTCATGGAGGTTAGATCCATAAAAGGCTATTAGCCAGGGGATAGAAATGGTGTCCCTGGCCTCTGTTTGTCAGAGGCTGGAGAAGGATGGCAGGAGACAAATCACTTGATCATTGTCTTCGGTCCACCCTCTCTGGGGCACCTGGTGCTGGCCACTGTCGGCAGACAGGCTACCAGGCTAGATGGACCTTTGGCCTGACCCAGTACAGCCATTCTTATGTTCTTATGACAATCACATTCAAAATTCCCCCTCCCATTGTTGCACTTCTATTCTGGTTGAGAATTGGAAGGTGATTCAAACAAAGAAAATGATGTTAAAAGTAGCCCTAAAGTAGCCAAAAACATATGTGTTGAAGAGCCATCAGTAACTATAAGATATTAAAAGCTTTAGAGAGGTAGCCAAGTTAGTGTTTAAAGAGCTGCTAGACTATTTGTTGTTTTTAAAGTTTTTCCAGTTACAGACTAACAAAACATGTAGTTGGTATCATGAGCGTTCATGGGTATAACCCACTTGGATTCATCTGAAGAAGTAGATTGTGCCCACAAAAGCTCATGATACCGCCTACATGTTTTGTTAGTCTTTAAGGAGTTGCTATACTATTTTCTGTTTTTTAAGGTTTTATAAAATATTATTATATTTCCATTCAATGGTGGCAGTCACTATCCATATTTTGTGTTGAAATGGCTGGTAAGTGTAAGTCATCATTTAGTTTTTAGTCCAGATTTCCTGAAGGAGTAGACATAAAAAAAGGCAAATTTCACTCACTAAATTACTGTACATTAGACAAGGAAGTTCAATATCACAGTTTCTGTTCTTCGGCTCCCTGAAACTAGATTTTATTTGCCGAAATGATCAAGAACCTTCTTCAGTAAGAACATAAGAATGGGCACACTGGGTCAGACCAAAGGTCTTTCTAGCCCAGTGTCCTATCTGCTGACAGTGGTCAATGCAAGTGCTCCTAGAGGGAATGAACAGAGAGAGACTAATGGAAAGCCAAGTTGTGTCAGAAATCTGCACTATATTCTGGTAGTCAGGGGATTATGGAAAGGACAAGAGAAAAGATGTGTAAGTGGGGTGGCTCACAGGTGACATGAAAGAAGTCAGGAGAGCAGTCCAAAGAGAGGATTCAGCAATAGAGAAATTAGGACTTGGTGAAGGAATCAGAATTATAGAATTCTGGAAACCGGAGGGCCCGTCAAGAGGTCATCGAGTCCAGTCCCCTGCTCTGGGGGACCAGAGCACCGTCTAGATCATCCCTGATAACATGAATGATAACATGCTAATTATCAAGACATTCTTACATTCTGAACTTCCACAAAGGTGAAGCCAAACTGAGTCCCCTTGACTACAGAAGAAGTATCTTTCTATTTCTGGTTTCACATGTTTAAAGTGGGTGGCTCTCCCTGATCATTTTCTGCAGACACATTTCCAAATTTTGCCACGGAGCTCTTTCGTCTGGAATCCATAAATGATGGGATTGAGCATGGAGGGGACGAGGAGATAAACGTTGGCCAAAATGATGTTTACATGGGGAGCGATGTTCTGAGCGAACCGCTGTGATACATTGGAGAAGAAGCTGGGAGTCCAATATAACAGCATCACACAGAGGTGGGCTGTGCAGGTGTTGAGGGCTTTACAAAGAGCTTTTGTGGAGGATAGTCGGAGGACGGCCCTTATGATCAGAATATAGGACAGGGCAATGAGACTCTGGTCTAGCCCTGTGATCAAAATCAGTAACACCAAGCTGTGCGTTCTGTCTAAGGCAGTGTCCCCACAAGACAGCTTCATCACAGCTATGCTATCACAGTACGTGTGGAGGATAATGTGGCCGGAACAGAACGGCAGCCTGCTTAGGAGCAGGGGCATGGGCAGAATGAAAAAAACAGCTCTTATGAAACACACTAGGCCTAGCTTTGCTACCCGTGCATTGCTGAGGATGGTGGTGTATCTCAGAGGGTTACATATGGCAACGTAGCGATCGAAGGCCATTGCCACCAGGACGGCTGATTGCGTAACTAAAACCGTATTAAGAAAGAACATCTGAGTCAGGCAACCCCCCAGTGTAATGTCTTTCAAATTAAACCAAAATATACACAGGGCCTTTGGAACAACACAGGTAGATGTGGAAATGTCCGTGAGTGCCAGCATGGAGAGCAGCAGGTACATTGGCTTGTGCAGAGTCTGATCTTTGCCGACAAGAGCCAGAACCGTGAAATTTCCCAACAGACTGATAATGTAACATACAAAGAACGGGATTGAAATCCACATGTGGGCAGCTTCCAGGCCAGGGATGCCTATAAGGGTGAATGTTGTAGAGTCAGAGAAAGTGAGGTTGAAAGTTGCCATGAGGCGTCTGATGCATCTCAGTCTCAGAAATGCTCAAGGTATCTGTGAAGAGAAATAAGCCCGGAGAGAGGATTACACCTTTTATAACAAATAATTTATATTTATTATCAATCTAGAAGGGGGTGGAGCAGGGAGGTGGCAATATTGACAGAGGTGCCAGGTTATTTAGGGTATAATCAAGTCCAGGGAAGTCCTCAGGAGGAGGTAACCAAGCCAAAGACATGAGCGGCAGAATGGCAGGTGAAATTTGATGTCACTAACTCCTAAGCTTCAGCGGGATAGCTGAGTTAGTCTGTAACAGGAAATACTTAAAAATCAACATATAGTCTAGTAGCACTTTAAAGCCTAACAAAACATGTAGATGGTATCATGAGCTTTCGTGGGCAAAACCTACTTCTTCAGATGATTGGAGTATAATGAGTCCAGATCCAAGGATAAATAAGGGAAGAGTGCGGGGAGAAAGAAAAAGAGAGACAGTGAGTAGATACAATTTAAAAAACAACAACCAGTCCAGCAGCACTCTAAGGACGAACAAAACATATAGATGGTGAGTAGATTGTTCAAGTTAAGAATGATTAGCTCATGATACCATTTACATGTTTTGTTAGTCTTTAAAGTGCTACTAGACTATTGGTTGTTTTTAAACTAACTCCTATGGGTATGTCTACACTACAAAGTTAATTCGAACTAACGGACGTTAGTTCGAATTAACTTTGATAGGCGCTACACTAGCGCTCCGCTAGTTTGAACTTAATTCGAACTAGCGGAGCGCTTAGTTTGAACTAGGTAAACCTCATTCCACGAGGACTAAGCCTAGTTCGAACTTACTAGTTCGAATTAAGGGCTGTGTAGCCCCTTAATTCGAACTAGTGGGAGGCTAGCCCTCCCCATCTTTCCCTGGTGTCCACTCTGGGCACCACCAGGGAAACTCGAATGCCCCCCTCCCAGCCCCGGAGCCCTTAAAGGGGCACGGGCTGGCTACGGTGCCCATGCCAGGTGCAAGCCTGCCAGCACCCAGCCAGCAGACCCCGCACCTGGCACAGCATGAGCCAGCCACCCGCTGCCACCCAGCCCTCTGCCTTTTCCAAGGACCAGGCTGGCAGCTCACAGGAGCTTACCCGGGGCCACAAGAAGGGGGTGCCCGCCTGGTCTAGTGCGGAGATTGTGGACCTCATCGAGGTTTGGGGGGAGGCCTCCAACGTCCACAATCTCTGCACTAGGCACAGGAAAGCGGCCATCTAGGGCAGGATAGCTGCCAGCCTGGCCACCAAAGGCCACACGCGAACTCAGGAGCAGGTTTGCATGAAAATCAAGTTGGTCCAGTGAGACCCCCAACCCTAAGCTTAGAACATAAGAACATAAGAATGGCCGTACTGGGTCAGACCAAAGGTCCATCTAGCCCAGTAGCCTGTCTACTGACAGCAGCCAGCACCAGGTACCCCGGAGGGGATGGACCGAAAACAATGACCAAGCGATTTGTCTCGTGCCATCCATCTCCAGCCTTCCACAAACAGAGGCCAGGGACACCATTCCTATCCCCTGGCTAATAGCACTCCATGGACCCAACCTCCATGAATTTATCTAACTTCTCTTTAAACTCTGTTATAGTTCTAGCCCTTACAGCCTCCTGTGGCAAGGAGTTCCACAGGTTGACTATGTGCTGTGTGAAGAAGAACTTTCACTTATTAGTTTTAAACCTGCTGCCCATTAATTTAATTTGGTATCCTCTAGTCCTTATATTATGGGAACTAATGAAGAACTTTTCTTTATTCACCCTCTCCACACCACTCATGATTTTATATACCTCTATCATATCCCCCCTCAGTCTCCTCTTCCATTTTTATATTGTCTCATATTTACTAGCATATCATAAGACCAGAGGTCACTGAAGAGGGAAATAAATTTGAAATATCCATGCTGTGATTTCTAGGATGAAAAGTAGCTTCAGTGGTCTGACAGGGGGCTGGCTACAAGCATTGACATTAGATAGAAGTTAATAAATAATGCTGAGTTGGTAGAGTTGCTAGGCAAAATTCAGAGGAAAATCTAATGGAGTCAAGCCAAGCCCAAGCAAAGCCTGCATGCTGTCCAAAAACAGTGGAACTTACCACCTTCTTCTGCCACTTACGGTGTTACAAACACTCTCAGGGTATAACAAACACTCTCAGGCTGTGTCTACACTGGCACCCTTTTCCTGATTTTAAGAGGAATAAGGGATCTTCCGGAAAAGGCTTTATTTTCCAAAAGATCCTGTCTAGACTGGCGCTTTTCTCCGGCAAATCAATGTGGACATGGTAGTTCGAATTAGCAAAACGCTAATTCGAACTAGTCTTTAGGTCTAGATGCGCTAATTCGAATTAGCTTAGTTCGAATTAACTAATTCGAACTAAGTTCGTTTGAATTAGCGCTGTAGTGTAGACATACCCTAAGTTTGTGTCCATTGGCGTGGAAAACTTGAACGCCTTCAACACCTGATAAGACTCTAATTTAACAGTATGAATTGAGGCCAGGAACGAGGGCATTATGGGACACAGCTCTGTTGAACCCTGTTCACAGTGCAAGCACAGGCAGAGACTAAGCAAAATATTGGGCTCCAGGAGGAGTGGGATGGGAATTCATCCAGAAAATACAATGCCATGAGCTCCGTCGAGCTCAATGTTTCACCGTCCTGTGTATTCTTCTCTTTAGTACTGAGTACCCTTCGGCGGTGGGGTGAGGTAACAGAAGACCCTTTAGGGGTGCATCCTAGAGGGCTGACACAGCCACTGACACTCGTCTTCTTGCATTCTTGGGCTTCTCAGCACCCTCTCCTGCTGGGCCAGCTCCCTGGTCTCCCCCAGATCATCCCTCCCCCTGCCCCGCAAAAAGTAGCACAGACACTGAAACTCTTCAGGTGCAAAGAGAGTGCAGTTTTGGGCCTAGCTTCATGGGATGCCACTCCCCAGATGGGATCAGAACCCCAAATGAATGATTTAGGCAAGCCCTAATCTATGTCTAGACTACGCAGAATTTTCAAAAGAGGATATGCAAATTCTACAGAAATTTGCATGTCTTCTTCTGATCTCACTTTTGAAAGAGGATCTTTCGAAAGTGAAAGTAGTCTGGATGTGGATTTTGGGGGGAAAAAAACCTCCTTTTTTGGAAAAACCTGCTCTTCCTTCAAAAAGGAGGTTTACGTGTTTTTTCCGAAAGTGAGATCGGAGGAAGATATGTAAGTGCTAACAGGCAAGTGCAATAACAACCGGATGACAAAATCCAGCTATTTATCATCTCATGCCTGAAGCATGCTGTAGACACAATACTGGGGATGGTAAATAATGAAGAGGACAGGTCCCTGGTTCGGTGCAATGTGGATTGGTTCTAACGTGAGTCTCATCAAACAATATGCGTCTTAATATAGCCATGCAAATAGCCACATCAAGGAACAAAAAAATGTTGGTGATGATTAAACAATTGCAGACTCCTATGGGAATGCAATCACTCTGAATGCCATTTGTGCACTAAATTGGCTGAATATGAGCTCACAAACTAACCCTGTGGCCAAAACTATCCACGTGACCCCGGCTGACAATAAGGCATATCTCAAGGAGAGGTAGAGAAGATATAGTACCTCCATATTTGACACTGGTCCAACTGCTCCTGGAATCTTGTTTCTAGTTCTTCTGTTCCTGATGGAAGATCGATGTGGATACATTAAAGAGACTCCAGTAAAGATTCACAAGAATTAATAAAAGATTGGAATATCTACCTTATAAGGATAGACGCAAGGATCTCAGACTATTTAATTTCACAGTGATGGCTTAGAGGTAACCTAATAACAGTCTGTAACTACCTCCCCAGGAAACTAATGCTTAATAATAGACTTTTCAGGCTACCATACAGATGTGTAGGAGGATCCAATGGCTCAAATTTGAAGCTGAATAAATTCTGACCGGAAATATGCCCTGGCTGGGTTGATTTAGTTGGGGTTGGTCCTGCTTTGGGCAGGGAGGGCTGGACTTGATGACCTCCTGAGGTCTCTTCCAGCCCTAGGATTTTATGATAAGGCATACATTTTTTTAACAGCCTTAGTAGTTAGGCACTGGGATAATTTATCAGGGATCTGGCTTGATTCTTTAGCACTGAGAATTTTTAAATCAAGGTCGGATGTTGAGATCTTGGAAAAGTTTTGGTGAATAACTCACAGGTATGTTTTACATAGGACAATAGTGTACAGATAAGATCTTCACAATGGTCCCTTCTGGCCTGGGAATCTACGAGGCATTTTGCCTGCAAGTTGTAGCCTATCAAGTTACTTGGCTACCATGCTAATAAGATGGTTGTGTTAAATTAGATGAATTAGGTCATAGTTTAGAGTTGTAATGCAAAAAAAAAAATCCGCTAAAGGCTGGCCTGCAGCACTATGTGCCCTGTCTGCCCAATGCCTCAGACTGGAGCACCCGGGGGTGGCATATCTACCTGGACAAAGGGCTACACTCAGAGGAGTGGGAGAAAGGCAGGTGTTGGAAAGCTGCTCTCAGCATTCTCGCAGGCTCTTCGTGTTAGCTTGACTGATGTCTGGTTCAGGTATAATACACTAGGCCATGGGTGGGCAATAATTTTTTTGCCGGGGGCCACTTCAGAAATTTTTGAAGTGGCCCCAGGCCACTCCGGAAAGGGCGGGGCTTCAAGTGGAAGGGGCAGGGCCAGGATACTTCCCTGCTTCCCCACCCACATACTGTGATTGGTCTAGAGATGGGGCAGACTATGAAGTCTTTGCCCCCCTTCCCAAGGTTTCTCCTAGGCGCCCTTGCCCGTGGCGGTGGGAGGAGACTTTACGCGCTCCCACTTCTGCCCCCAGGCCAATCAGGGCTTGGGGGCAGGGGAGTGCAGAAAGTCTCCTTCCACCCTTCCAGAAGCTCATGGTGCTTCTAAGCACTGTGCGCTCCTGGCAGGGCAAAGGAAACTTCGTGCCCTTCCCCCTCCCCCCGCTTCTAGGCCCTAATTGACCTGGGGGAGGT